AAGCAATACAAATAACGGCCGCGAGCGACAACACTCGACAAACCGCGCGCGGCTTGTCGCGTCAGTGGGTTTTCAGCCTAAGACCTATTCAGCAACTGCACATCTTAACATCCCCAGAAGACTACAATTTTCTAAAGTGTGAATTATTATGGTCCCTGCATGGAGACGGGTTAGAATACCTCCACTGTACCCCTGCAAGTTGGGGAAAGGTAACAAAAAGGGGACCCAGTGTCTGGGGTCATAACTGGGCCACTCTGTTACTGGGGAACATAAATACAGACACCTGGTCCTCCAAGTTGGTGGTTGGACACAACGCTGACGACCTTGTTATGTAAAAAAGAAATTACTTTTGAAAAATCTAAAGATGTGAAAGCAGGATAGTCCGATTTACAACGGAACAGACAAGTCTAGCGGAATCTTCTATGGAAGGATATGGCTCAAAAAGAGCTGTTTTGCCAGTGATGATGACAATGTAAACTTTTATGTAGCTTGAATTTAAGCATCAGCATTTTCTTCATATCAGATGTAATGGTTACGCATTCCCATCACTCGGTTATGCCAGAGTCTTGTGCGCAAGGACATGATGCACTGTATGAAGGTGATGTTGGCAATTAGAGGAGTCTTCATATTGCTCGGCTTATCTCTTTGACCTCTGAATCAAAAGGGAAAGCTCTATGCATACCTGCAGATTTAATGCACCATCATAAGTGAACCATAGAAAACAGAATTAAACATAATTTATTTTCATATTATTAATTTAAGTACTGTACAAAAACAGGTTACAGTCTGCGTGAAGGGTAGTGTCTTCTGGTTTGTAACACTGTGTAGTTTGGAGAGAGCTTAGTATTAAACTCTGAAGATGGAGGTGATATGTTCCTCTGAAACACTGGCGTCTCTTTGGGTCATACAGCATTACAACTCTGAACACCATACTCTTCAGAGTGACTTGTGAGAACATTAAATCCGACAAAACAGCCTATATTCTATCTTACTAATCTTCCTTGTATCTGTTTTGGTTGTTTGTATTGGTATAGCAACTGGCTGTGGGCTGGACAGCCAAGTGGTCAGAGTTCAAGTCATGGTATGGTCAAGAATTTTCTCTTCTCCATGTTGTCCAGATCGATTCCCAGGGCTCACCCAGCCTCCTATCCAATAGGTAACAGGGGGCTCTTTTCCTGTGGGTAAAGCGGCCAGGGCATGAAGCTGGCCACTCACATCCAACTAGTTCCAAGTTCAAGAATATGTGAATTGGATCTATACATCCACTCCTCATACACCTTCATGATGTAGAGCTTAATTAGTTAAGCATAGGGTCAACTTTTATGTTATTGATACGGGTTTCTGTTAATATTTTTCTGATGAAAAAGATTCTCTGATCAGGAAAATTCAGGGAAAACTACAGTAATGAATGAGGCAATCCTTTCTACGTTCAGCACTTACAGACTTGTATGTGACCCAGTACCCTGTAAAACCTGCTCTGTTTAAACACGTCACTTCTGGCATGAGAATAACTTGGAAGGTTAATTTATTGGAAATTATCCAGAGAACTATAGAACAGCAGAAACAAAGAAAATGGAACATAAAATGTTAGAACCGATGCATGTGCCCTCACATAGCCCAGTCACCACCAGTGACAAAAACTGGTACTCAAAGTAAGAACACTCTCTGTCCCAGCAGTGACTCACGATGGTTCTGTCATCAAAATATTTTGCCTCTTTTGTGATGGATATCATCCATTTGCCCCAAAACTTTCACAGATCACAGAACAAGCTCTAAGGACATTTTTCCTTTCTCTCCCCTCTCGCTCCCACTTCGGAGTATAGGGCTGATTTCTCAGTTTCATGATCATTTTACAGATGGTAGGACTCCTTGAATGGGTGATCAGCTCATCACAAGGCCTCTACCTAAACACAGAACACAAACACAGAATAAATGCATACATGCCCCAAACATCCTTGCCTTGTGTGGGATTCGAATACATGAACCTGGCTTCCAAGCAAGCGAAGACAGCACATGCCTTACACTGCTCGGCTACCATGACTGGCTTCTGAGGACTTCAGGTTATATACCTATTTACGCATGTATAGGCCGCACATTTTTTGCCAAAAATTCAAGAGGAAAACTGGGGTGCGGCTTATATTCGAAATCACACTTCATTTAAAAAAAATTATATTCATAATTAGTAATACAGGTTGTAATACTCCTGAAATAATATTCCAAGAAAATTATTTGTTCTATAATTTCTGTCTGAAAATTGTGCTGCGGCCTATACATGCGTAAATACGGTAATTAAGCATTATTCCATGAAGGCACATGGGGACTGGAGGAACAGCTTCACCATTCTTAACCTTGGCACTGGATTGAGATGGTGAGCTTCATACATTGAAACTTAAACCCTGGGGACAGAGCCCCTGGTACCCATTGCATAGGAGGTTGGGTATGCCCAAGAGCCAGTGCAGATGCTATGGAGAAATGTCAGAATTGAACCTCAGTTGTCCAGCCCATAGCCCAGTTACTATGTGAACTGAGCTATCCTGCCCCCTCTTGAAGTATGTTCCAAGTTCTTACATTTTTCTGAAAGAGCTGTTTCTTCTTATCAATGGTGTATCTGTTGGCTTGTATAGCTGGCTGATACCCAGCATTGAAAGTACTGAGATAACTATGAAGAAATCCTGCATCTCCTAGTTTTGTTCAGGGTTTATGAAAGTACACAAGAACTACATAACATTCAAGATTCAACAACGGCAAGAAACAGATCCAGCATGTAACAATCACCTGCATGGATACTTCGCATATGTGAAAATGACAATAAGGTTTAACTGAAAACAGCAGTCAAAACTAAGAAAAACTTCAAAATCATCTAGTATTAGCTTGTACCAATTTTTTTAATAAGCAGTACAGAAAATGGGTCTCAACTAATTGTACACTTAAGTCTAACTAGTTATGAGAGGAACAGCAATCAGAAAGATGCACTAACATTCTCGTTACGGAGACACGACCCACATTTGTTCTGACACACTGCAGTCACTTAAAAGTTACAAATCTATATCATTATTATAAATTAAATGCAAAGATGAGTTCAAAGACAGATGTTGGTATTAACTCTCAGTCACTCGTGGGTTGGCTTGCAGTGAAATACATCACACACAGATACAGATAATATTTATTTATTGAGGATCATGGGTAAAGGATGTCATAGTGGCCTGGTCGATAAAGGAGGTGGACAGCTGGGTGGATCCCCTCTGGGAAGTCATGTGCTATCACTTCGGATGCTTCTCCTCGATCCATGTATCGCACCCGAACTCCAACATTCAAAGCTGCACTCAGGGCTATGATGTGGATGTGATCACTTTCTTTATACATTGGCTCCACCTCCTGGAATTAAGACATGTACACAAAGGAATGTAACATCATGATAAAGGGTCTTCACTGAAGAAATGACGATTATTCAGTTGGTCAAGAAGCTTGCTGTTATAGAACCTGAAGATTCATAAACACCAAGTATTGAACTAGTGTTATCCTAAGCACACTGAATCCAATCTGAAGGGCTCTGACGGAAATGCATAATGATTGGGATTACTGAGTTTTTGGAAAGACAAAACAACTCCGTCCAGTGTGACTATTTAAGTTTTACTACTCGAAAACTTAGCACCCTTACATGTTTCGATTCTAACAGATCATCTTCAGAGGAAACATCGATACTTATTTGGAAACTACTATCACAATAGGTGTTCTGAGTGATAAATTACATACACACACACACAATGCCTGGAATACACAATATACACAAAATTCAATTTTTCCACAAAAGCAGCAGCTTTCCCGGTATTAAAGTTTGTAAAACTTTGTTGTTTAAGTTAAAATTTATAAACCAAGTAGGTTTGTGTCAATTCTCCTATCGTCTTTGTTGAAGGGGGCTGAACTTGTGCCGCCTGTCTATCTTGAGAAGGAGATTCTTAGTATCGTCCTGTGTTTGTTCGTGGCTTGCTGTGTTGTTTTTGAACTTTCACATTGCCTGGTCCTCTAAAGAACATATTGTTTCAGAAATTAAGGTTAGCTTTTTCTAATGGACCCCAAAGAGCAAGTGCCTCCCATCCTTTCATCTTAGCTTCCAGAACAATGTGTTCTCTAGAGTATCAGATAATGCTCAAAGTCCATAAACTAAGTAATCCCAATTTGATTTGTCTCATTCTGGTCCATCACACTAACAATCACAAAATAGATAACTTACAGTCCAGTGTGACATACAAGTTCACCACACTTCGGTCTTCACTCGCCTTACATGTTTCGATTTAATAGAATCATCTTCAGAGGCGCATCAGTACGAGCAGGAAACACTGTCACATAAGATTTGACGTTATGCACTAAGGTTATAAAGAGTGCTCACTGTATTACAATTTGCCCTTTTACATTCACGTTGACATGTAGATTTACGTAAGATGTTGTTTCGTTTAGGCGTCTTTTCTGGGATTCGATTGGAATTTCCCACTGCATGCAATGTGATGTTTACTTTTCTTAAAATAGCTTCCTTATGTATTTAAAATTGTGTTAAAATTCTATTGAATCGAAACATGTAAGGCGAGTGAAGACCAAAGTGTGATGAACTTGTGTGTCGCATTGGACTGTAAGTTATCTATTTTGTAAGTAATCCCATATGCTGAACATCCTTCACAAGTTCAGAACCTACGCTTCTAACATCCAATCCAATGTTCTTATTCACCTTATGCCTTCCAAGAGATTTCTGAACCAAAATTTTGTATTCATTACTGTTTCTGATACCTTTAATATGCAAGGGGGAAACTATGTTCAGTTTCTGCAATGTACAAATATATACATCTGCGATTTTCATGTCGTCAACCCTCGCTTCTGCCCTTATAGAAAGGGCCTGTATTATATGCCCTTTTACTTCACTTTTAAATATCCAAAAGAGGTCACATACCACGGGAAAATAACATAACATAACACCATTTTAATACTCAGCCTATGTAGGAAACATTTTTGATTCCCATGTCATTTTCCAGGAATACAACTACCACATTAATTTGGGAAAATGGAGAATGAAGTTGAAGGGCCAATAATCAGTATCCCTTCCAGCTCACCTGATGGCAGAAGTCTGCAACAGAACGATCTCCTTCGATAAAATGTTGGTAGAACTCGGAATCACGCTGAAGCTGTCCAGATGTTATGAGACGCAGGTACACAACGATATAATCAGAGTAACCCTGATCGTTAAACATCTTATGTAACTCCTTCTGTGAAAAAAATGTAGGTCCTTTTCCAACATGATCTATCACCTCCATAAACTGGAACAATAAACCAGGGATTGTTTGTAATACCAGGGCCCCTAAAGCATTATCATCGTCATCAAGGTGTGAAAAGTATGGTTGCCTAAGGCGAGTTCATCTTACAAGCCGCTGAACAAAAATTTAGATAATTCATATTAACTGATTATAAACATACTTCTCTGTAGGATGTAAGGCTCTGCAAGATCAAATAATCTAATAATGAAAACTAAACATGAATATTTTATTTGTTTTAAATGTTAATAAAAAGAAATGCAACTTTCTGTTTTCCACGATGAATGAAGTAATGACAGTTTTCCAATTTTGTGCTTACACTTTTAAAAGTTCCACTTTTCCATGATGGCATTATACAGAGACTTTATTATATATAAAAATATTAAATATTTTATACTCACTATATCATGGAAATCCTCGACAGTGAACTGTGGAAATCCCAACTCTACTAAGCTGTTTTTGCTCTTAGCTGCCAAATCACGGAATCTAATGGAAAAAGTATGTGACAGAAAATAATCATTAACAATAAAAAAGAACCCGTCAACTGAGAGTTACTTCTGTCTTGTGGAATATTCTGATGATGTATGTAGCAGAACTCCATAATATCGAGCAGTATGAAGACAAATGAACCGAAAAGAACTGGGAGGGAAGTGGTTGTGACCCAAACCAAGGCACTATCCTGGTATTTGCCTGGAGGGTCTGAGGAAAACCAAATATACCCTGTCATGAGAGTCAGTGTCCTGGCTGAGATTTGACCTGAGCACCTCCCAAATATGTCTACAGCATTACTGCTATGCCAACTCATGCAGCGACACAAAAACAAAAAACTAGTGAATTATATATAAAGGATAAGACGTTTAAACGTTGTGGCTGTCTCGACAAAATATTGATATATGATGAACCTTCTAGTGGGCAGTGAAATGGCTAATAAGTATATAGATACCGCTCGTATTCTTCACGATCTTCAAGAAGTTGTTCCAAGTATGCATAACTAAAGGCACGGAAGAAGCAGTTGCCATCAGGTCTGGTCCGGCGCATGCTCTTGTATTTCCCTGCCAAGTCATGTACTTTCTGGCAATAGACATCATCTCCTGCGTATTCATCTTCAAGCATTCCAAGTCCTTCCAAATCACCAACCAATGCAGTCGTTTCAGAAATCTACAGCAAAATGAAGCCCAAGTAACAAGAAGTTCGTTTATATATCAGATGTTATCTGATCTTTATTCTTTCTCAAGGGAAATTGCAGTAAATTACTGAAATTTGGAAAAATCCCCTCTTCTGTCCCCATATTTCATCTCGGAACATGAATAATTTTTTTTTCATAATGGGGTGACACTGAGTCCACTTGGCACTGCAGCCACCATTTTGGCTTACTGTCCCAGCCCCAGATGATAATGATTGTGGAGCAATTAGTGGAATGTGAATTGGCAGAGGAAACTGAAGTACTCAGAGAACACCTGTCCCAATGCCACTTTGTCCTCCACAAATCCCACATGACCTGACCCAGGCTCAAACCTAGGCCACCACGGTAGGACACTGGTGACTAACCGCCTTAATGAAATTTGATATGGAGTGTACTCTAAGAGCTGTCATGCAATTTTTGTTCCAGTCTCTTATTAGTCCACTATAAACCCCATTCTACATGCACCACTGACAAGACCATGAGGAGGACTACGTAATGAGGATTCAACTCCCAGCAGGGGTAAGAGATTTTAGTCTCCAGACCTGCTCTGGTGTCCACCCAGCCTCCTATCTGTTGGCTACTAACAACTCTTTACCCAAGGGTAAAGTGGCCAGGGCATGAAGCAGAATATCCACCTTCATCAAGTGCAAGAATGTATAGACATATGTCCACTCTCCCATACGTTTTCAGGGTGTGATGCTTAATTAAGCATAGGAACAACTTTATTTGAACTGAACTTTATTCAGTTTCTCAAAAGAAGAAAAAAATGGTTCAGTATAAGATTCATGATATAAAAAGTATAAACCTCATGTAAATTTGATATGAAAATGTTTATTTTAATTTGATACATACAAAATACAGGGGCATGTGATAGCGTAGTTGGATCAGGCACTACGCTACAAGGCGGAAGGTCACGGGATTGAATCCCGATGAGGTGGATTTTTTAATTTACCTAATCCTTCTAGCTGCACTATAGCCCTGGGGTCGACTCAGCCTCTAACAGAAATGAGTACCAGAAATATTCCTGGAGGTAAAGGGTGGCCGGCCTGTAAGGCTGACAACCTCACTGCCATCTGTGAGCTGATTGTCTAGAAAATGTGGGAGCCTCGACATCTCACAACCCAATGGGCCTTCAAGGCCTGTTACAGGGATAGCTTTACTTTTTTTTTTTTTACATACAAAATACAAACATAAACTAAGACTTTATACATTAAAATATATTTACTGTTAACGAGTTCTGTCAGCAATTAGATTTGTATATGTAATAAACAAAGACCAATGACAATGGGGGATGAAATAAATATGAAGCAAACATTTAGAAAACAACAGAGCTTACAAGTTAGAGGACAAATGGAATTAAGAAAATGTTACGATACCTCCTTCTCTATTCTCCTTTGCTGCTGCATGATAAGTTCATCCTGATTCGCATCTATCAACACAAAATTGGACAAATTAGCATTGCAATAGCTTCCTGGAAAGTATGTGGGAAAGGCTATACAGAAAAAGTTTTCTTACTATTATCAAAACAGCACTGAATTAGTCATAACCTTGAGATTCGCACATCTTCCAGCACGTAGTGAAGGAACCAAGGGGGGGGGGGAGTTTCCATCATCACTTCAAAAAAAAAGCTGCTATTCATGGTGTAAACTTCTGGCTGTCTATCTTTGGTACAACTCTTTTGCTCTTTACCTTGTACAGTTAGAACACAAAAGCACTCTCTCACGGACCCCACGTTAAAATATACAAAGAGGCTAGAGGCAACTATTAGTTTTCTGGGTTCTAACTGAAAGTCTGAAGCTTCACAGGAACATACTGCTTCCATTTTCAGTGTTGAAGAGGAAGTCAAGTAAGAAACAAGCAGAGGCAGGCTGCAAGCTCAGTCTTTTGCTGAAGGCGGAGGTGATATGATAATAAAAGGTAAAGCTGTCGCTGTGCTTAATTAGTAAAGCATTATGCCATGAAGACATATGGAGTAGAGGTACAGATCCACCATTCTTGACCTCAGCACCAGATGGAGGTGAGTGTTCAGGTTCATGCCCCTGCTGCTTCACCACCGGGGAAAGAGTCCCGGGTACCCATTGGATAGGAGGCTCGGTAGGCCCCAGAGTCAGTCTGGATGCTGCAGAGAGGAGAAGTCTTGCAGCGTAGGGCATTGAACCCAGGCCATCCAACCCATAGACCATCGCTATGCCGACTGAGATAATGTTCCTCCGAAACATCACGTGCTCTCTGAGCTACATGGCACTACAATGCAGAAAGTCATAATCCTCATAGTCACTGCCATGAGAACCTCAAATCCAGCAGGCGAGAAGTAAGTTTATATACTGAATATGAAATGTGACTTAGAGCTGAGTTTCTCACACACTGAATGTGAACATTATTGTCTTCTGGGATACAAATACAGCTGTTGTAAAATAAACTGTTCAGTTTCAAGAGGGCAATTTAAATCCATTTAACTAAAACTACATTTGCTTTCAAAATTAGTCATATTATCATTTATGCTGTGTTCCTGTATGGAATCATATTACACTTGTCTTTTATTATAGATCGATTCATTTGTAGTCTATGTAATGCCACTGTGAATAATTAAAAGAAACAGAGCTTTGAATAGTAGTGTGGGAACTGCCCACATTCAAGCAAACGTTACAGTGACAATGCAAGTATCATTGATTAGCAATGGCTTAAAGCCTACAAAAATATGGACAGCGACTTGTTTTCTATGATGCAATGTTATATATGAGGAAGATATACAGAGATAGCGCCATATATTCCTCACCTTCCTGCACACTGGTCCGCGACTTGCACACAGCTTTCAACTTTCCGTATGTATACGATTATATAACAACATTGTGCAGACGACAAGCAGAAGTCATACAAAATCATGAGAATGAACATGTTTGTGATATAGGACAAGGTGAAGCCAGATACAGAAAATATAAGAGGCTTAAACTTGGCGGTGGTCAAGCTTACGACCGTTCAAATGACTAAGTTTTCTTTTAGCATAAGATATGTAAGTTAGGCATGATCTGCTCTGTAAAGCCTGTACTGACAGAGGACTTGTGGGTACTGCAAAAGGAAGAATTTTCGATAACATGTTATATGTGCAAAATATACACTTGACAAAAGGTCAAGTGTATTCATAAGAGACAAACCAATCTTCTCGTCAGAGAGGATGTTACATAAGGACTATTACCGCAAGAGTTCAGATGGAAGAAAAAATCTCTGGTCGTGGGCCTCAAAGGGCCTGACACCAAGACGAACTGATTGGCGGTAAACCACCAGCCATAAAGTAACACTGACTCTGACTATAGAGAGATAGTGGTATGGGTGCTGCAAGCAGTAATATTGTTGGTACTAAACTATTAGTCTTCAATTCTTCAAATCGAAGTTCGTCTGTGTATACTGTGCAGCTATAATAAATATAGAGAATTACTGGGGTTTTGGACTTTTCCCATTGTCCAGAATTTTAGGAGATAGAAGACATGACGTTTCGGAAACTGGATCTGTTTCTGTCTTCAGTTGAGAGAGGAAGATACCTACTCAGTTGGGCCCCTTAGAAAGAGCTAATCTCAATCACAGTAATTCTGTGTGTAATCCACCATCATCAGAGCCCTTTAGAATCTACTTATAATAAATATTATAGAAAGTTCAACGAGTGGATGTCCCTTCATATAACGACATCCCACAGTAGGATGACGCAAGGAATAATGAATTGGAAAGGCTGTGGAATGAAGGGGTTGTGACCAACTTGAGGTACTGACCTGACACTCACTTCCAGGAACTAAGGGAACCCATGAAAATCTCCATCAGGTTACCAGCCAAAACTCAAACCTCCTGAATGCAAGTTTGAAGCATTGCTGCTTAAGTCAGCTGGTTTGTTTTCGTAACAATGTCTGAATATAACGCCTGGGAGTATTATAACATAATACAATATGACTATCCCCCTCTTCAGCATATATATATTAAATGGAAGCTACTGTCTATATTTTATTTGCGTATTTTGTTTTAATGCCTGTTTTAACAGGTTACAACATTAAATATAAAAAAAAAAATATTTCCGTATACCTGTGTCAAACGTTGTGCTAGAGACTTGCTTTTCATCCCCCATGGTTCCAGTCAAAGCGGTCTTATCGTACAAATCTGGAAGAGAATATTTAATTTCGTTTCCTTCATGATATAAACTAAACGATTAAATAACTACAGATACAAGTAGAACATAACCTTAACCTAACCTAAAAAAAATAATTTATTTTAATAACCCGTTGCCTGTATGGACTTCTTAGCATTTTTACTTTTGACAACGCCATAATGAACTTGAAGGTAAATTATGCTGTATGGCTGTACTCTACGGGAAGTACTTTGTACACTTAACTAACCTCGAGGCACAATGACATTCAACATCCAATTACAATGCCATTCTTATGAATCCGCCTACCATTTTTTCATTGTTTCCAGCGATAACCGCCACGATTATTTAGTAATCCATGACAATTACTACTTAAGTAATCGCTGCTGTGCATATACCGAAATCTCTCATGCGATTCGTGCACCAACATCACAGATTAGTCAAGAGTATGAACTTTTGGCGCAATTGTTCAAATGTCTATAAAAAGTAAAAGTATCCCTGTAACAGGCCGCGAAGGCCCATAGGGTTGTGAGATATTGAGGCTCCCACATTTTCTAGACAATTTACCCCCCGGAATATTCCTGGTACTCATTTCTGTTAGATGCTGAGTCAACCCCAGGGCCATAGTGCGGCTGGAAGGATTACTGTAAATTGAAAAAAATCCACCTAATCAGAATTCGATCCCGCGACCCCTTCCGGCTTGTAGCATAGTTCCTCTATGAACTACGCTACCGCGTGCCCCATTTGAATATCTATAGGAATTAAAACTATTGTCCTAAACATTTAGTGATCTGCTTAAAAATTTGTTGAATGCAACAGATTCTGTTGCTAATTGAAGTGTTACCTTGTAATCTGCATTAATGATGACCAACAATTTTGGCAGAACAGCATCATACCTGAATGTCTACTCATATTAATTAATGTATATGATCATTATAATCATGTGACCTGTCAAAAGAACTTCAAATATACTGGTGGTAGTATTGAAATGTGCTCATTGACAATTAGATATCTGAGTATAACAAAGTTATCAGATGTCATATCATTACATTTGCACAAGGAAATTTACGCAGCAAAACTAAAAATTAGTGGCTAATTACTACAGCTGCTGACAGGCATGTGAGTAGGATGGTCAGAAGCCATGAAAACTATATATATTTAAAACTTATATATTCAGGGTTTATATGGCATACATCAAGACAATAAATGTACTGAAACTTGACAGTGAAACAGTTAAAAGTACATTGTAGCATTCAGTTCTGTAACTATTTCATCATTTCGTGTTTGGAGATGACTAATTCTGGAAAACCCGTTGCTTTATCAAACTCTCTCTTGAACTGCACATCACAGACTTCTCCTAAAACTATTTCTGCTGTTGTCTGAACAATAAGATCCCCCACAACATGTCCTGCCACTGTGTTTCCATCACTGTCACCCAGTGTTATATGGAGATGAGCACCATCTTTGCAGATTGTTCCAACCAGTGAAGTAATTTCAAAACATTTGTTCAGTGTATGTATCTGAAACAAACAGAAAATTGCAAGTGTTCTATAAACAAAGGCCAGTCAGAAATACCAATGTGCATACATCTTATTGAAAACATTCAAATTTCAACATACTACAAACATTTAAATCTCTTTATAATGCCTTTTATCAATGGGTCTTGTCAGTAAGCAGATTTTCATCATGTTTCATGGTGGGCTGTCACAGGACTTCTGACGTCCCAGGGACACACTGTACTTTCACCCCTCATCTTAAGGAGTTATGTCTACCAGTAGCTACATTACCATCACCATTCCTCTCAGCCTCACTGAGGCAAACAATCACCTCCACCATGCAGGCCTAAAGACCCTGCATATTGGAGAACATGAAGACCCCTATGAAACTTAAGTTCAAGAACATGCTAATTAATTAAGTAGCTGAAGAGATCATAAGACATTTCCCTGCTCAAATTTTGTAGAAATTTCTTGTCTTCTGCATCTGAGATAGCTTTTATATTTACATACAGAATGAAGGATTAAAAAATGTATTAACATGCCAGGGAGTATTAAGATATGAGGGTTGTTCAAATGAAAATCTTTTGGAATTTGTTCTGGGCAAAGGCATAGAGGCTGCTAAGAATAGTTCCCATGGGTACTGAGGGAGGCATACCAGTTACACAACAGCTGATGGTGCCTGTCCAAAAATAATTTCTTGTGTTGCTGCTGCAACTACTGCACTACTATAACCTTGGCATCATCATGTACCCCAAATCTATAGTCCTCTAGCATTCAAGAACCCTGACACCATCAATGAACAGCAGAATTGTGAAATAATCTGAGACCTTCAAACTACCATCAAGAGGGAGTGATTCAGCTTGCTTACAAGATGTATCATCATGTTATCTGTCCCCATGTGGTTTGCACTGTCCAGGACATGATCTGCCTCATGTGTTAGATTTTGTTTGACCGTCCCCCATACAACCTGGATTTGTCACCATGTGACTTCCTTCTATTCAGCCCCTTCAGTGAAAAGCTTAACACCGCTCTTTTCCAACCCGCCTTTGCTTGTATCGGCGCAGTTGGAATGGTGCTATCCCTGCTACACCTGTTTCTACCTTAGGACAGTGTATGATGGCTACTGGAAATTGTTCTCACAGATCAAACTAAGGAAGATCGGTATAGGTACGGGAAACTAGCTGGGTCGGTTTGCATGAGTCTCAGGGTAGCGATGCCGAAGAAAGCGTTTTTCTGAGAGTTGAGCCAATTGACGTTTATTCACCTGCTAATTCACCACACTGTTAAATTAATGTATTCTTAGCTTTAAGTTACAGCGTTACACTATCGGCTAGCTATGTCCCGGAGCGTGCAAGGGTCACGTCCGTTCAGTTCGGAATATTGTGAAAGTCTCCCCTTTTGTGGAATGGCTTGCACCCCCACGCCGGGAATTCGAAAGATGGTGTTGACATATACATTTTCATCCCATCTTCCGTAGGAAGCTTGAACGAGGCAACCCAATCATACTGGCCCTCATTCACAGGCAATTGTAACAAGCTCTGACCTGTCCTTTTAGGCGCGTCCGGTTCCCTGTACCCGAGCTAAATTTATGACTGATCGTAAATGTCATAACTCCGGACTTCTTGTTTCTGCCAGAATCTAGAAATTTTCAACGTAAACACCGTATTGCACGTCCCAGACGATGAAATACGATATTATAGATCACGATACATTTCCAGTAATATCGAAACATAAGACTTTTGAAATTTAAATTACCGAGAATTAATTAGAACTAAATTTCAGGTTCATCTATAATCATCCAAATAAATAAGGGCTCAGAATGATCAGCGTCAAGCTAAAGGACCATAGCTTCACACTGAGTGCAGGCATGAAGACCATAGAATTGCAGTGATTCCAGCGGCAGCCCAGGGAGTAACTTGTGGATGGATCCATCAGTTGGTGCATCATTGAAATGCCTATCTCAGCACTTATGGGGACTATTTTAATGGCCTCTACTCCTTCACCTAGAACAATACTCCAGTGGTTTTCATCTGAACAAACTTTGTATCACTTTAAATGAGTATGAATTGTGATTCTTAAAGCATACCTGATGTGTCTGATCAGGACACGTAGCAAAACGAAGTGTTGCTTTTATTACACTGCCACAACAAGTGAGAACAAAGGCAGCATTCAGCTGTCTGGATGTTACAAACTCAACTAGACTTGATTTAATTTCAGTTCCTGGCTGAAGTCGCATAGGATAAACCTTCATACTATTCTCACACATAGCCTTCAAAAAAAAAAAATACACTCCCTTTGTCATACCTGCAGCCATGAAATATGTCCTAGTTATGTGAGGATGCAGAGAGAGCATGGCAAAGAAATTATATGCAGAACTAAAAACGTGCATTAATTAATTCATTATCTCATGTAACATGAAATCGAAATTATTTGATCCCAAAATCTTAGCTTCACTTTGGCTCCTTTCCTCATATCGTAAAGTCAGAGAAAGGGTAACCAGATGGTACCATGACTGTAAAACTGAATAAGCAAAAGGTGACTTGACATTGTTTATTTTGTATTTGTGCCATCAACATAATGTAACGTGCTATCTTATGTTCATTGCTGTGCAACGGCCACAATAGGAAGATAACAGCCTGCAATGAGTCTCCATGGTTACGATGAATACCCGGAGAGTTCCCACAGAGACAATGCAATAACAGTGGGCCGTCGTGTAGAAATTGCAGAGTCAACAAAGCAGCGTTTCCCCTGTGATAGACAACAGAAGGTTCACTCCATAGCAATGGCCGCGGATATATAACAAGGTAATGCATTCGCGGAGACCTCCACTGTGACCCTGCGAGTTGTAAGAGGCAATGAAAAGGGAAGTCTCAAATCTGAGACAGTAAAATATGGTCTCGAGTCCCAAGGGACTCAGACCCGAGAAAGACTGCACTGGCAAGGGCCAGCAGCATATACAAAAGGCAGACCCGTCCTCTCATCAGAGAGGGCGGCCCACAAAAACAAGACCGTAAATGCCAAACAGTAACAAATATCTGGTCATGAGCCCCAGCTGGGGCTCGACACCAAGACTTATGGACTGACTGACTTACCGTCAGTCGCAATGTGACTTGGACTTGGAGACAGTATCGGGATAGCCGTCACCGAAGACAGATGAGATCCAGCCACGGCCAAGAGCAGTATAAGCATTGGAGTATTGGGCCAGAAGTAAAGTGACACTGCAAGCGATAATAATTGTAAGGTGTGTGAGTGCCCAATAAAGATTCGCTAAATTTCTTTGATGTTATTAACAGTAATCTGACTTTGGAGGCACAAATGAGTAAAATTTGCATGAGACCTGATGTGTGTATATTTAAGGCATTATCTTACATAACTGAATTGGAAGTAATGAGAACAATCCATTACTGTTTAATGTATACATTTATTTCATGTGGAATTATTGTTAGGGACATTGCGCTAAACAAATTGTGTAAAGAATATGATTAGGTACATTACAGATATACACATGCAGATGATCAAACTATTATACTCCATTCAGAATGTCTGTAGGGTGCATGTAAACAAAACATGAACGTGTGACACAGTGTTGACTTACTATTTGTCTCACAGTCAGGGAACTACACTTTGCACGATTGCTAATTCTGCCTTCACTACAACAGTAGTACATCATGAGATGGGGCCAGAAATTGGGATAGACTCAGGTAGATGCTGTTTGTTTACTTTCAGAGTGATTCATTTCCAGGAAGCTACTTCCAACGCCTGAGAGCTGGGATAGCTAAGTGGGTACAGAGATGGGCTGCAGGCTCAACGGTCCATTGAGCTTTGATTCCCAGTAGGGGCAAGTGGCTTCTTTCTAATCCACAACGTTCAGGCCGCCTCTGGGGCCCACCCAGCCTTCTATCCAACAAGTTTCAGGGTTAAAACAGCCGATGCATGAAGCTGACCACTCACCATCTAGTAGTGAGGTCAAGAAAGGTGGAGATATACCTCTCCTTCATGTCTTAATAGCTTGGTGCTCAATTAGTTAAAGGCAGGTACAACTTTACCCTTTATTTCAAGTGCCTTTTAAGAAACCATTAACAATCGTTTTCAACAACAATAGCCGTTGGAACAAATACAGGAGCCCACACTCCAATAATTTTATTTTAATGCATTTTTCTTTGCCCCCTTTGGACTTTTGGGTTATAACTACAGAACTACCCGGTGTCAGAACCCAGACGACCGTGCTTCTCATAAAAATACATATTAATAGCTTCTCAGGTATTTTATCTTCAGTTCAGCAACAACGAAATATTTTTAGTTTTTTTTTTTTGAATAGTTGTAATGACCTGTCTATATACTCGTATTATAGAAAATAATCATGATCAGTGCTTGAAACAAAACTGTGTTGCAACCGATACCGAAACGTCTACATATATAATCGATGAATATCGATATCACTTTCACACTCCTCACAGCTCCTCAGCACACCATGCAATTTGAGTATTCTTTACCTTCTCTACGATCGTCTACGATCTCTGCGATTCTATGGGCGGAAATAGGCGAATGTCTGTGACGGTCTGTGACGTGTAGGTTGAAGTTAGATGGCCAGATGGCAGTGTGATGGAGGAACCGTCAGTTTGACATGAATTAGACTTCGAAATTGAGTTTTACATGTTTTGATACTATTTATATACATTTATAGCGACGCTAAGCTATAAATAATATGGCACGTCTTAAACATATATTATCACACCAGCAGTGTTGACGTGAATAAATCTAACGCCATCATTTCCCGCCTCTTGTATTGGTGCGAGCAGGTGCGAGTGTCAAATACGTGAAAAATGGCGGAAAGCTCAACCTCCACGATGACTTCCACATCTAAAGAAGAATCTGTTGAAGAAGATCCTAACGTTGTTACGATGGTAGACGTATTAAAGGAAGAACAGGAGTTAGAAGATGATGCGAAAGCTGTTTTAGGCGCATCAGATGACCAGAATTGCACATATTCACAGGTAAATGCGTATCAAAATATCAGATTTAGGTATGGAAAATGGCTGTTTTGGCATATAATTCGCACATGGTTCATGTAGTAAATGTTTCATATTTTCCTTCCTGTGGAGCTAAAATTTAGTGCATCATGTTTAGTATTTAAAAGGTTAACTGTGTAGCATCAGTGAAGTGTTCTCCAGTGTTCGTTGGGGTTGTTTTTTCATCAATCTTCGGCCTTAATTCTATAGGTAAATATGCTTTCAGTGTGGGCCTGAGAGATAATTTTGCAAAATAGTTCAGCCAATTCATAGACAGCATTAGTTTGAGCCTTTTAAACGTATCATTTTTCTTAGGGTTACGTGAAAAGACAAGCACTATATGCATGTATGACATGCATACCCTTGTCAGATGATAGCTTGAAACCTGGTGGCATTTGTCTGGCATGCAGTTACTACTGTCACGAGGGACACGAACTGGTTGAACTCTACACAAAGAGGTGAGTTTTTAATGTTTGAATTATGTTTTTTTTTCTCCCACCAATATACTTTTTGAAATTATGATGAAGGTGCAGATATTAGGAAACATGGATATAGAAACAAGCTTAAAGTTCATATTTTGTATTTATTTTTACCAAACACAGCACATTAAGGCATTAGCTCTTGGCTCATAATTTGTAAGTTTCTAGATCATCTGGATCCAGTGGAGGTTTTTCCATATGCTTCTTTCTTTCGGTTATAATAAACTCCATTTTGAAAACGAAGAGCAGTGTGGGAAACTCACCTGCTCTGTCCTCCGTAACAAATGCAACTTCCAGCCTTAGCCAGGATGGTCAGAGACCTGTTACAGAGCTTGAATTTTTTGAGAAATGGGAAAACTTGTATGACTCCATTGTGCTGAGTTTGCCATGTTTAAAAACCTTTTGCCACATTTTCTGAAAGCTGTATCATCTGTAAGTGTTATATAGTATCAGTTGAGATACAATGTTAATCCTTAACGTATTAATGTTTCCTTTTCAGGAATTTCAGATGTGACTGTGGAAATAGTAGATTTACAAACAACAAGTGTAACCTTGAACCAGTAAGTAGGTTTTAATTCACTTAATGTGGCCCTTTCTGAATACCTGCATTGAATTAGCCCATAATAAAATTGAGCCCACAACACGTCATGTGTTTCATATTTATAACTATCTTTATTATGTGCTTCCAAATTACCGTATTTATGCATGTATAGGCCGCACATTTTTTGCCAAAAATTCAAGAGGAAAACTGGGGTGCGGCTTATATTCAAAATATTCGAAATCACACTTCATTTAAAAAAATGAAACGTTGCCAGATTTCGGAATAATTTATACTCCTGAAATAATATTCCAAGAAAATTATTTTTTCTATAATTTCTGTCTGAAAATTGTGCTGCGGCCTATACACGCACGCGGCCTATACATGCGTAAATACGGTAGTCATAATTTAAAAAATGTTTTCAGTTTTAGATTTCTTTGTTTCCTTCAGTAGGCATTGCTATAGCTATTATGGATGGCATTTTTTGTTTATTTAGAAAATCCAAAGAGTAATCAGTAAAAAATTAGTGCAACTGAATTACAGAACTTGACTTGGTTCATCCTGGTCTGTCACACAAGTAATTGTATATAAAAGTAAAAAGTAAACCTATATTTGTAACAGGTCGTGAAGGCTCATAGGGTTGTGAGATGTTGAAGCTCCCACATTTTCTAGACAATTGGCTCACAGATGGCGGTAAGGTTGTCAGCCTTATGTGCTGGCCACACTTTACTCCCCAGGAAAATTATTTAATTAATTCCTGGTACTCATTTCTGTTA